CAATCTCTCCTCCCTCCTCCCTTTTTCCCACGGAGCACCGCCCCGCGTCGGTCGGCAACGGGGGAGGCGGGAGGAAGCTGAGGCGGGACGAGCAAATAAGAGTAATACTAATCTATAATAGGATTGCTAATACTACGAATGATAAGACCAATAACCATAATACTAATCATAAGAAAAAGCATAAGAAGAAGGGAGGATGAGACTGACGAAGGGAACGCATGACCAATGAGGCAGGCGAGAGGAGTGAGGAGAGGAGGGAGAGGGGGGGGGCAAGCTCGGCACGGTCGGGCCACATCGGATATTCGACCTCTGTGTCCCATCCCTTTCTATTTTGCTCAGCCTTTTCCGATTCGCCAATCCATGTGTCGAATCAGAACTTGATCCTTGAATGGGATCTGCAGCGCGATGCGGCCAGAGGCCAGGCGAAGGATGTAGGCGAGGGATGTGAAGGACTAGGGGCTTGCCATCGCTCGGACTCCCATTCCCCGTGCATGCTTCGTTATCGTGAGGGTGTTTTTGGCTCGATGATCCAGGATGCTCCTCGATGGTCCTCGCCGGGAAAAAATTCGGCGGTGGACAAACTCCCTTTAGTAAACCTCCCTTTAGTGAAAACGGCCTAGGACCGAAACCGACGGACCTGGACCCGCAAAACTGACGGCCGCGACGCCCTCTCGCGAACCGAAAACGGCCAATTCGCTAATCGACGTGTCAGGGCAGGAAGTCTATCAACCTCCGAAAAATGCACACGTCCGAGCGATGCCAAGTGGGGAGGATAGCCGGCAGGAGCGCTGCGTCACGCCTTCCGATGCTGTACGCCCCTCCGCCAAACTCCAGGGGGCCTCGGCCGGCGATGCGCCGCCGATGGCCTCGATGTATGCCTGAAGCCACAGTGCTGCTCTCCGGGCCCGTGAGGGAGGAGGGCGAGGGCAGCGGGGGATGATGGGAAGAATGATGGGCCCCGTTTTCCACCACTACCACCATAAGTTGGAGGGGGGGGAGGTGGAGGACGAGGAGGATGCGGACGAAGAGGAGGAGGAGGAGGAGGAGGAAGAGGAGGAGGAGGAGGAGGAGGAGGAGGAGGAGGAGGAGGACCCCCTCCCCGTCCAACTAATGGTGGTGGTGGTGGAAAACAGGCCCATCGAAGAAGTAGGCAGGACGGAGGCGCTAGGCAAGCCAGACGACAACTCACGAATGGGGTCCTGTCATGGCCCAGCTGCCATCCTTGCCCCTGACCTCAAAGCCGAGCACCTGGGTCGCCGCTGCGGAGTGTAGGGACCAAACGCCGGGCCAGGAAGTGCGCTCGCAAGTCATCGACAGATGTCTGCACGGGAGAAATCATCAACAAAACGGAGCATGCAAGCGCATCGGGCAGTGGGTGAACATGCTGGCCAAGACGTCGCACACGCCAACGAAATACTGAAGAGGGCGTGGCAGTCCAGGAATACAGCTGAACTCTACCATACTTTCGACCCCCCCCCCCCAACCCTGCGCGTGGCAATCTATGACACAGCCACCTGGACATGTAAGGATGATGGGGAGGAAGAGTGATATTACTTTCGCAAGGGTTTGTCACCTTTTCGAATCCATCCTTGTCTGCAATCCTTTCTGAGAAGGGTTTTGTATACTTGCGCTGACATACAGGACGCACTAATGGCTCGCGCTCGGTGGCGAAATTTGTGGTACATGTTTTCGTGGCACACCATCACCAGTGCAACGAAATCCAGGCAGGGAGAAGCCGAATTCCATAAGTTCCAGCTCGCAGGTACAAACACAATGCACCCAACACCAAACTGCAACATTCACTCAAATACTTGATGCAACGCGATCTTACGGAACTCGCGCACCGTCGAAAACAACATGTCTTCCAACCGGGCTGAGATGTCAGGTAATTTCAATCATGCGAATAGAGCTCGTGGTTGGATTTGCGAATTTGACTGACTGCTGACTGGCTGACGCGACATGACCTTTGGATAGCAACTTTACCTGCGGGGGTGCATCGAGGACTCATCCGCCACAGAAGTATTACCAACCAAGAGGGCTGATTTCGGAGCGCCCCCCCAAAGGGCCAAATACGGCCGACGAGCGTGCCATGAGCGCCACGAGAGGGCCCAAGATGGCCCCAAGGCAGCCCCAAGACGGCCCAAGGCGGGCGCAAGATGGCCCACGACTGCCCCAGAGAGCGACAAGACTGTGCGCTCGAAGGGCACTCAAGAGGTCCCCAAGCACCCCTAAACATACCCTGAATGTTTTTTTGTGTCATACATAATAATATATATATATATATATATATATATATATATATATATATATATATATATATGCACACGTGTATATCTACATATTCATATTCACATAGCGATTCCAAGGCGGGCGCAAGACTGCCCACGACGGCCCCACAGCGCGACAAGACGGGGCGCCCGAAGGACACTCCAGAGGCCTCTCAGAATTCAAGTAAATACCCTGGATCTGTACTGGACTCCCCGCCTGTTCGGCTCCAAACTTCGTGGCCACGCCTGATTTAAATTTTCCGCTTGGGCGGGCCCCCTACCGTGACAACGCGGGCCCCGGGCCCTGGCCTCCAACGCCGCGCGCTCTTCTCGACCATCTCGAGCCACCTCCAGTCTCAGAGGTAACGCGAGGCTGTCGTTCCTGCCTTCTGCTTGCATTTCTCGCCGTGGGCGGGTCGTCGTCGTCATCGTCGTCAACGTCGTCGTCGTTGTCGTCGTCGTCGTCGTCGACGGACGACGACGACGGACGACGACGACGACGACGGAAAACGACGACGACGAAGGACGACGACGACGGAAAACGACGACGACGGCGACGGACGACGACAGACGACGACGGCGACGACGACGACGGACGCCAACGACGACGACGACGACGAGGACGGCAGACGACGACGACGACGGACGACGATGACGCAGACGACGACGACGGACGACGACGACGATGACGACGGCGGACGACGACGACGACAACGACGACTGACGACGACGACGAGGACGGCGGACGACGACGAAGACGACGACGAAGACGAGGATGACGACGACGACGACGATGGACGACGACGACGACGTCGCAGAAGAAGATGACGACGACGATGGCGACGACGACGACGACAACGGACAACGACGACGACGACGGACGACGACGACGACGGACGACGACGATGACGACGACAGACGACGACGGACGACAACGACGACGGACGACGGACGACGGGGCGGGTCCCGGGGGCCTACAGTCGTTGGGTCCCGGGGGCCTAGAGTCGTCACCTCACCCATGGATCGTGCCTCTGCAGCCGACCTCCGAGGAACGGCCCGAGAACCGGAGCCCGAAATGGTCCTTACAGGACATCGAATGGACGGCGACGGCGACGACGGACGACCACGGCGACGACGACGACGACGACGACGACAGACGACGACGGACGACGGACGACGGACGGCGGGGCGGGTCCCGGGGGCCTACAGTCGTGGCGTTGTCATACTGAATGCTGAGCAACGGCGAGCCCCCGGGCCGACATCCAAGGAACGGCCCGAGAACCAGAGCCCTTTCCCGAGCTCGAAGTGGTCCTTACAGGACATCGAATGGACGGAGACGACGACGACAACGACGACGAAGACGACGACGACGACGGACGGATGGACGACGACGACGACGAGGACGACAACGACGGACGGCGACGACGAACGACGACGACGACGATGACGACGACAGACGACGACGACGAGGACGACGACGAAGACGACGAAGACGGACGATGGACACGGACGACAAATGCAAGAGAGGGTCCGGGCGCCTACAGTCGTTGCGTTACCATATGTACTGAACACTGAGCGCTGATATCGAAGGGGCCTTTCTGGCAACGGCGAGCCTCGGCCATGGATCATGCCCCCCAGCCGATCTCCAAGGTCCGGCCCGAGAACCGGGAGCCCTATCCGGAGCCCGAAGTGGTCCTTACAGGACATCGTTTTCACTGTAAAGCGAAGCCATGGCCGGGACCAAGCCGCACTGGTGGAGGCCTCCCAGCTGGGGCCCGAGTGGATGGGGTCCAAGGATCGTGCCGCATCGCCAATGCATCGCCGACGTGTCGGCGATGCATCGGCGATGTGCTGGCGACGTCGGCGGTGCGTCGGCGACGTGGGCGTGGGGAGAGTCGGGCTCCGCATCGAGCCGCATCGCCGATGCTGCGGCGCGGCCCTCCGACCCCGTCTGCTCCGACCCCATCTGGGAGGCCTAGGACTGGGACGAGCGGGGGGACCTCTGAGACCGGGCGGCTCTGGAGGACGTGTCGGGCGCCGCTGCCGTCCCAGAGGGCTCCAGAACGCTCGGTGGAGCGCCCAGGCATCGCGAGGGCAGGCCCCCTGTGCTTTCTCCTCTCGGCGCCTGGAGGTAGGGCTGCTCCTCCTCCTCTTCCTCCTCCTCCTCCTCCTCGTTCTCCACCTCCCCCTCTCCTCCTCCTCCTCCACCTCCTCCTCCTCCTCCTCCTCCTCCCCCTCCTCCTCCACCTCCTCCTCCTCCTCCTCCTCCTCCTCTCCTCCTCCTCCTCTCCCTCCTCCTCCTCCTCCTCTCCTCCTCCTCCCTCCTCCTCCTCCTCCTCCCAAGACTTCGTCTTATGGTCATACTCTCTACTCCTCCTCCTCCTCCTCCTCCTCCTCCTCCTCCTCCTCCTCCCCCTCCTCCTGCTTCTCCTCCTCCTCCTCCTCCTCCTCCTCCACCTCCACCTCCAGTCGAGTAGGGGATTGGCTGCAGAATTGATCAAGCCCAGAAACTTGTGCTTCGTCTACGCAGCGAAGAAACACATATACTCGTGGTAGATCTACAAGAATTCTGCGCACTTCGCGCAGACTCGACGGACAAAACCATCTTGGGGCAAATGGATTCTGTTGGTCGATCCCCCTACTGTCTCCTCCTCGCCGTCCTCGCTCGCGGAAGGCCCTCCCCCGCCTTGGCCAGATCAGGGAAGGTGGATTGTTTGCGCCCTCGGATTTGCTGCCCTTCTTCTTATTATTCTTCTTCCTCCTCTTTTTTTCGCAGCGCGACCTCGGAGCCACTTCCTCGTCCGGCCGCCCGCGCGTCGCGATCCGGCATCGCCCTCCCCCTGGCGGAGGGTGGGGGAAGAAACACTTGCATCAGCATACCCTTTCGCAGGGCTGGTCGGATTTCTGGGATCGGCGCTGGAAGCCCCTGGCGGCGCCCCTCCGCGCGCAGGGGACGGGGGCCCAGGCGCCGATCCAGGAAATCCGCCGCGCGGATTTCCGAAACGGTTCTGTGATATAGTTTGTTCTTCCTCGAAGGGCCGTCCCTGGCGGAGAGGGCGTGGGCCACGAACGGGTCGATCCTGGAGGACGGAAGACGGACGCGGAAGGGCAACAATCGAGGACTGGTGCCCCCCGTCGTCGCCGGAGAGCAGGAACGGGATCGCCACTTGCCGGCGTCGCCGCGGCCGGATTCGCCCCGAAATCATGGTCGGAACGCGCTCCAGGGCGGGTCCACGTATAAATCTCGAAAGGGTGTGGGTTTAGAGAAGGAGAAGGATTGTGCTGGGGTTCTGCCGGGTCTGCGCTGGAGGCCGTTCGTTCCTGGGCACGACGCCTGTGTACCCTTCGGAGCTATAGTGCTGCACTAGGACAATCGGCCCGCGGTCAGGCGGCAACCGTCCCCCACAACCTCTTGAGTCAGCAGGAGTCCTGGTGAACTGGAGTAGCAGGGAAGGGAGAATGCAGACTTGGACGTTTTTCGCAGGGCTGTTTGGGTGTAGTTTTGCATGTCTTGTGAGTTTCAAAAGCGATTGGGAGGGTTCAAAGAGGTTCTGAAGGGGCCGAAGGGGAAGGTGGCGGAGGAGGGGGAATGGTCGTGATGATGATGACACATAATGAAGGTGCTCTCCAGACCCACCAGGAAGCCTTCATACCCACCTAACATGTTCTTCATGCCCCAAGCAGCTTGCTGAACGGGGTGCTGTTGTGGTCGTTACTAGCTCCGGTTGAGGGTCGGGCACGTAGCGACATCCTCGAGAAAATTCGTTGGTCCGAGCCGTTTTGCCTGAGACTTCCTCATACCTGTCGTTTCTGGGTTGGCCGGGATTCGGCCTTGCGCCTCAAGCATCCTCTGAGCTCCGAAACGCCGCGTGAGAGGTGGTCTGGCGCTCTTCACGATGCCGCGCGCGAGGTGGTCAGGCGCCTGAGACATCCTCGCAACTCTGACATCCGAGATCCCGCGTGCGAGGTGGTCCAGCTGGTTTCGCCTAAGACATCCTCGCAACTCTATGCTCAGAGAAACTGTGCGCGTGGTGGTCCAGCCCGTTTCGCTTGCTTGAAACATCATCGCAATTCGGAGCTCCGAGATGCTGCGCGCGAAATGGTCTGGCGCGTTTCGCCTTAGGAATGCTGCGCGCGAGGTGGTCTGGCGCGTTTCGCCTTGGGCATCCTCGAAACTCTGGGCTCCGAGAGGGAGGGATGAGGGAGGGGTCGCACCCAAACGAACCACTTGATGGCACTTCTGTTGGCGCTTTGTGCTCTGGGGAGAGTCTGGGCGCCTCTGGCCCGACGGAGGAGGTAGCCAGCGCCGGAGGCGCGAGCACGATTCCCTGGCAAATTGCCATGGATTCTCAGGGGGGAGCCATGCTTGAGCAAATCGTGAAGATGCCTCGAGCGAGAGCGCGGTGAGCAGGGAGGAGGCAGGATGGGGAAGGAGGAAGGGAGGATGAAAACGGGATCATGGACGAGAGAGACGGGACCATGCCCAAACTACCTCTTCGAGGACATCCTTGCCGAGGGTGCCTCTTGGAAGCGTCATCGAAAGCGCGAAGTCATCCCTAGCATGGCGGAGTGAGCGGACAAGAGGAGGAAGAGGAGGAGGAGGAGGAGGAGGACGAGAAGGGGGATACGAAGGAGGAGGAGGAGGAGGAGGAGGAGGAAAAGGACGGGGAGGACGGGAGGAGGTGGAACGCGGGGAGAAGGAGGAGGGGAGGAGGAGAGGAGGAGGAGGAGGGAGGAGGAGGAGGAGGAGGAGGAGGAGGAGGAAGAAGAGGAGGGGGAGGAGGGGGGGCAGGAGAAGGAGGAGAAGGATTGCGAGGATGAGGAGGACGAGAAAGAGGAGGAGAATGAACGCTTCGAAGGGGTGGTGGACGAGGAACACGAGGACGAATAGGAACAAAACAAGGAGGAGCACAGCGATCAGGAGAAGAGCAGGAGGCGAACAAATAAAAGGAGGAGTGCGATAAGGAGGTAGAGGATGAAGAGGAGGGGGAATTCGCTGGAGTTCGCTGGCATCCACAGAGTGGGAGCGAACTCGGCGATCCAACACCCCCGGCGGCGGGCCACGGAGGACAGACTCGCGCCTGACAGTGCCCTGCTCTCGAGCAGGGGACGCCTTCCACGGTCCCTGGTAGTCTTCGCCGCGGCGCGGCCCCGTGCCGCACGAGCTGCGCTCGATCTCCGGGCTTGTGCTGGCCTGCGGCCCCTTGCAGCCGTCCACCGTGCGGTTGGGCGCATGCGTCACCTGCGGCAGCGCGGCTGCGCTTTCGGCGCACGGGCAAGGATACTTCTCGTGACCGCGCAGGCTCGTGCAGGACGTGCCGCACGCGATGCTCAGGCCGGTTTTAGCGTTCAACACCTGGTAGCAGTCCACTGTCCTGGTGGGCGTGTACTTCGCTTGCGGCAGCGAGACTGCGCTGTCGACGTACCTGCGAGGGTAGTTCTCGCAGCAGTGCAGGCTCATGCAGGACGAGTCGCCCTCGATCTTCATGGCGGTGTTGGCGTGCAGCCCCTTGTAGCAATCAACCATGTTGTTGGGCATGTGCTGCCCCTGCGGTAGCGCGGTCGCGCTGTTGACGTAGCTGTAAGAATAGTCCTCGCAAGTGTGCAGACCCGTTCGGGACGAGTCGTACTCGATCTTCAGGCCGGTCTTGGTGTTCAACACCTTGTTGCAGTCCGCCGCGTTGTTGAGCGTCAAGGCGGCAGTCCGCCGCGTTAGTGAGCGTCAAGGCGGCTGAGCTGGACGCGGATTCAGCTTCTCTCTCGACGACAGAGAAGAGGCGAAATAGTTGAACTTCAATATACTTTTTCGGTAGCTTCATGAGCGGCTTCGGTGCTCGCCTGGCGGCAAGGGAATGTCCCTCTTCTCGAAGCTCTGCGTGCATGGGGGACCTCGGGCATCGAGGCGACCATGTTGGAGCAACATGCAGGACCTACGTAGCTTGAGGCAGCTTGGAATTAGCACGCAAACCAAGGATGTTCTCCAGTTGTGCGAGGACGCGAGCTTGATTCAGGCTCCGACAGTGGTGATTACATCGTGCATCTGCCCACCAGCGTCGTGCTGGGAGTACTAGTACCTTGGCCCGCTGCTGCGGAAGTACACGGCGCATGTGCCTGACAACGTCGAGAGGAGGATTCTGTACGACTGCACGGCTTTCGAGGCTACAGTTGTGCAGCTCCCGTTTGCGACGGCGATCTCTATCAATCGACGTACGGACCTCATTGGAATGGGGGGGCACGGCAACACATGCGGCAACTATGGGACAAATGCCACGGTATCGGCCCAAAACATGCAATCACGGACCTGATGAACCGTTTCACCATCTTGAGGGTGGGCATGATTTGGTTGCGGAGGTCAGTACGGGTGGCCCTATCGATCCTGCTCAGTTTGTGGGTAGGGATAGTGTGCTTGACCTTGTCAGCTTGTGCATTGCAGCGACGCTCAATGGGTGGAAGATCCGCGAAATGGGTCGTTAGCTCACGCACGCGCTCTCAATATCTTTGCCAACGTACGTTCGAAAGAGTTCCAACGACACCGGTGGCGACAGAGCGTGAGCCTGTCAGCCTGCGTTCCCTCGGTGGCTACACTGGGACGTGCGTTGATTTCCATGAGTTCGCGAAGGACCACAGGGTCAAACAGATCATGGAGGAGTTTTTGCGCAACAGCAGAGGAGCCCACGGAGTCGCGCCAGGTGTCCTCCAGCCGCATGCTTACCTCAAGACTGCCGTGATGTGGATGTTCACATTAGTTGTGCGCGGGTGCCAAGCAGCAGTCGGCTTGGCAGCGGCCCGATCGGGGGGCCTGCCGTTTGAGGTTGTTACAGTTTAATAATTGCAGGCGGCGCCTGTCCATGGACATCATGAGCAACAAATGCAAGGCTGCATCATCGGTGGCATCACGTGCATCAATGTGGCCTTGCGGCAACGGGGGCTAAGGGGGGAGCCTGGTTGTGCATTTACCCACCCGCCCGTTGTGTTTCAGTCGGTCTTTTTCTGGTGGGCGGGCTGCAACTGTCAGTCACTGTTTTCAATGTTTACGTGGTCATCTCGCTGGTCGACTCGTACATTGGTGGCAGGTTGCTAGTATGGCAACTGCTCAACTGGAGTTTCTTGTGGTGATGTGCAGGGTCTTTCAATTGCTGGTGGGCCTTCCCTTTCAATAATATGAAAGTGTATCTGTATGTCTTTTCGGTACTCATTGGTTTCGTGGCAGGCATGGTGGAATGACGTTTGGGTATTTCGATGAGCATGTGTGTGGGGGTGGCGATCTCGTGTTTGTACTGCTCTGCGGACCAGTGGTTTGTGCTGTACGGACCGCATCAAGTCACCTTAAGTTAAACTTAGTTGTGATTTGTTGCTGAAAGTGAGGTATTATGTCGGTATGTTTGTGTGCGCGGGTCATCGTGTTCTTCTTCATGTGCCTCGTCCTCGGGCTCGTCTTCCCCATAGGCAAGCACAGTGGGTGGCTTGCGTAACTTGTTATATCACTTTGTGATTCGAGACCCCCATTCCCACTCCCATTCCCTCCCCTTCCGCCTGGAGGCAGAGAAGAAAGGACTTGTGGGCCGCCCTCCGGTCCAACGCTCCAGCCCTGCATCCGAAGATCTTGTCACGTTGCCCTCCGCTCCGCTTTCTGATGAGGATTATGATGTTCCCATCGCACTTCAGGACCACTTCCCAGAAATAATTTCGAGCACCCAGAACAGTATCAAAACAATGTCGAAACAGTGTCGGATGAGTTGTTCCCAAGGCCCGACACGTGAAAACCTTTGAAGTTCGGTCCCGTTTTGGTGCTTGAAACTCTTTTTGGTGATCGAGGCTAAAGTAATTTGGAAGATCATAAGATGAAGAGTAGGAAGGGGGAGGACGTGCCTCTCTGCGACTGAAGCGATGCTCCCTCGTTGGGGCGCACTGGCAAATCCGCCGCTCTCCGCGAGAGAGATCGCCAGAGCCCCCTCCTCCCCCTGGAGAGTACAATCAACCCGTATCATAAGGACGCACGATAAGGATGCAAGGGCCTCGGCAGGCCATTTCGAAGCTTTTCGAGCGGGGCGCGGTCAACGAAAGAGGCCAAGGATGGGCCGAGGAGGCAAAGATGCAAGAGTATCCGTGGGAAGGCTGCCCATCCTTGCTATGCGGGTTCGCTGTAGGCTGTCCTGGGGGCGGCGCGGTCGGACTGGACACCGAAGCCGCCGAGAGGAGCGGCAGAGCCGCCTGCCCTGCCTCGGCTTCTGTTCCTCCTCCTCCTCCTCCTTCTCGATCTCCTGCCGCCGATGCTCCACCTCTTCCTTCCCTGTCCCCTGCTCCACGTCCTCCTTCCCTGCGCATGTGTTCTCCTCCCTTCCCCCCTCCCCCTCCTCCTTCCGCTCCTGCGGCGGCTCCTCCTCCTCCTCCTCCTCCTCCTCCTCCTCCTCCTCCTCCTCCTCCTCCTCCCCCTCCGTACCTGCCTCTCCCCGCCCCTCCACCGCATCCTCCTCCTTGTCGTCCTCCCCCTCCTCTTGCTGCTTGTTGCTCCCTCGTCAGTTTTCCCGGTGCGCAGACTAAAGCACCAACTGGCTGTAGCGTCCTCCTCCTGCTCCTCCTTACCTTACTTCTGCTCTCCCTCCACCTCCTTCTCCTTCGTTTTTCTCTTCTTCATACCTCTCCCCCTTCTCATAGTTATTGACCTCCTCCTCCTCCTCCTTAGCTTCTCTCCATCCCCCCTCCTCCTCCTCTCCTCCTCCTCCTTGTCCTCATCCTCCGCTCCTCCTCCTCCTCCTCCCTCCTCCTCCTCCTCTCCTCCTCCTCCTCCTCCTCCTCCTCCTCTCCCCTCCTCCCCCTCCTCCTCCTCCTCCTCCTCCTCCTCCTCCCCTCCTCCTCCTCCTCTCCTCCTCCTGCTCCTGCTCCTCCTCCTCCTCCTCCTCCTCATCCTCCGCCTCCTTCCCTCCCCCTCCTCCTCCTCCTCCTCCTCCTCCTCCTCCTCCTCCTCCTCCTCCTCCTCGTCATCGCGAGTTCGTGGAGTTTCGAGTGGAACCCGCTGGGAGGAGGGCAGCGCATTCCTGGAGACCGCCAGCCGAAACTCGTGGAGGATGAGAGAGGAGAACGAGATGGGGGCTAGGGGAGTGGACGAGAGGAAGGCGAAGGGACAGGAGGATCATAAGGGCGATTGGGAAAACACATGGTGAAACAGATGGCGTGACGAATGAGGAAGAGGACGACGACGCCGAACATGGAAAGGAATGGTGACGAAATCGAGCATGATGATGATGACGATGATGCTAATAACTAGTGACGTTTAATATGACGACGACGAGGAGGGGGAGGAGGAGGAGGAGGAGGAGGAGGTGAAGGAGGAGGAGCAGGAGGAGGAGTGGTGGATGACGAGCAGCAGAAGGACAGGATGGGTCATGATGGAGAGGGGGAGGACGGGGAGGGCCATTGACAAGTGGGGTGGAAGAAACATGGCCGTGCCTGCCGGGGCAAACCGCTCGGGATACTCTCGCAACATAGCGCCGGGGACGCGATGAACAGATGAACAGTTCGTGGACACTCCCCCTCTCCCCCGAATGCAAAGTTGGCACGCGCGGGTAAGACTGCGGTCGAAGTGTAACGCAGTCAACCCACAGCAAACATTGCTCATTACGTGGGGCACTGGCAGATGAGTATTCGCTGCTTTCCTCCGAGGCCTGCAGCTCGGCTCTCCTGCGCGCAGTTCGGGACGACTCGGGCCCTCCCAGAACGCTCTCGGCGACGCGCAGCTGCGGAAAAGCACCCCGCAGCCGGAGAGACTCCGGGACACCACGAACCCTAAAGCCTGGGACCTCGGCCGTGCTCTGGGAACGGCAGGCGAAGGGCGTCGGCCGGGCATCGGCCTCCGTGCCAAAGCTGGTCGGGCCAGCGCAGCGCCTGTCTGCCGCGTCTGCGGGCAGGCTACAGGCCCTTCAGCGCCCGCGGGCCCGGCGGGCCTCGGGCCCGGCCCGTGGTGGTGACGATGGTGATCACGGAGGACTCCTGTGCGCTGGATGGGCCCCTCCCTCCTCGCGCTGGGGAAGAACACGACGGGAAATGTCTGGCCATTTTCGGCCTCTCGGGGCCATCGCCAAGCCCTATGGGGCCGTCAAATAAACGCCCGGGGCGAAAAGCCGGTCCTAGGGAAGGGGTCCAGAACTCTGGGAGTCTACGTTGCGAAAGACACAAAGACGTCTGGGTTCGGGGGTGAGGGGCCAGACATCGCCGGGTGGCCCATTGCGGAATCAAGCATCATACATCGGCACTGAGAGCAAATGCGTACGGTAGTGCATCCTGCCTCACCGGTCCCTGGGGCCATCGGCAGGGAGAAGTTTCTGTGGCGCGCCTGCTGGCGAACCCGTCGCTTCTTTGATGCGCCCACTGCGCACACACCACCCACGAAAGCCACGCACTCTTGTCAGCGGCCGTTTGAATATAACTACGCACCGTTACAATATAGCAACAGCTGGGACGCGTCAGGGCCAGCTGTGCACCTGTGCCGATGCAGAGACGAAGGGCGCGGCCGTGGAGGGCCACGAAAGCCACACAGGGCTCCAGCCCTGGGTTCTGCGCAGGAAAAACTTGGGCGGCTCCAGTGCAGAGGCAGACGATCTGGCCGCGTGCAGACCGTGCTCGGGGCTTCCCTCTCCCCGCCCCTCTCCCGCTCCCCTCCTCCCTCGCCCCCCCCCCCCCCGTGGATGAGGCTGAGGCGGGCGGTGAAGGAACACCTCGTGGCGAGCTTTGTCAGCGCCGCACGAGCAGCGGCGGGGCGAGAAGGAGGATAAGGAGGAGCGGCAGGAACACGAACGGGAGGATGGGGGAGGGAGGTGCGAGGAGGAGGAAGAGGAATAGGAGGATGAGGAGGAGGAGAAGGAGGAGGGGGAGGGAGGAAGGAGGAGGGAGGAGGAGGAGGAGGGAGGAGGAGGAGGAGGGAGGAGGGAGGAAGGAGAGGGAGGAGGAGGAGGGAGGAGGAGGAGGAAGGAGGGAGGAGGGAGGAGGTAGGAGGAGGAGGGTAGGAGGTAGGAGGAGGAGGAGGAGAGGAGGAGGAGGAAGGAGGAGGAGGAGGAGGAGGAGGAGGAGGAGGAGGAGGAGGAGGAGGAGGAGGAGGAGGAGGAGGAGGAGGAGGAGGAGTCGTAGCCATTTTGGCTCAAGGTACTGAGCGCTCGGGGGAGCGCGCCTCTCGACCCTCTGCAGTCTTTTCCAGCCCCAGTTGCCCGCGGCACATGTCCCATGGGCGCCCTGGCGATCGGTGGAAGTGCAACCTCTGTGGATGCGAGCAGAACCTCATGCATTGGACCTGGTGCAAGAAGCACTGCCGCAAAGGACGCACTGAAGAACCAGCGCCAGCTCCGTGGACCAGTGACGCAGGAGCTGGGCGCGGCGCCAACAGGTGGACTCGCTCGGCCAGCCGCGGGCGGGGCGCAAGCACCGCAACGGCGCAGGTCTCGGCAGCCGATCTCCAGAAGCTGGTGGACGTGGCCACCCAGACGGGCGACACAGCCACAGCCAACAGATACGCCGCGGAGCTGGCCAAGGCGAGCGTGGTTCGCCCCGTCCACCAGCGTGCCGCCGCCGCCCAGCGCAAGGCCTCGGCGACTGAGAAGAAGCTCACTAACGCCACGGACCTCCTGGCCAATCTGCAGCAGCAGACTACTGATCAAGCTGAGCTCGTTCGCAAGCTGGTGGGTGACCTCGAGGCCGCGGGGCTTGAGTACAAGACTGTCTTGGAGGAAGAATACCACACCAAGCTCGGCCCCAAGGAAGCCAACCCCTCCAAGCTCGACTTGCAGTCCCTGCTCGAAGGCAAGCTCAGCGCCGACGACCTCATTGACTGCGGGGACATGTTCGACCTTGGAGAATAATACGAGCTGGGCACCGAGGACGAGGCCGAGATCGCGAAGCGCAAGGAGGAGCTCAAGACCGCCATGCAGGCCGCTGCTGCTGAGCTCTTCAAATCGGCCAAAGAGAAGTGCGATGCCACCCGCAGAGCCCACGAGGAGCAGAAGAGGCGCCTCAAGACCAAGCGGCCTAGGGCGGAGTCTGCTCCTCCTCCTGGGGACAACGGTGGCGGCGCTACAACGGAGCCTGCCGCTGCTGGCGCCGCTAGCGCTGGAGGCGCAGCACCTGGCAGCGCCGCCCCAGGCAGTGAGGTGGGCGCCTCACAGCAGCCCGCCCAGACAGCCAAGGAGCGCGCTGCTGCAGTGCTGGCGGGCAAGGGTGCCAGCAAAGGGGACGCCAGCCAGACGCGGGGGTAGCCCAGGGCCGCAGGGCGCGGCTCGGGTGCGCTTCGCGGAGCGCCCCACGTACCACTACTTCCAAGCTGATGCCAATGATGTGCAGTGTCCAGGGGATCGACACTACCGATCACATGATCTGGCTCAGCCACCAGAACCAGAAGACCAGCTACATTCAGTGGGGAATGAAGCACCACAACTACGACAACCAACAGCAGCCCATCGGCGGCGACGATGGGGAGCAGCTGCCTGTACCCCTCTCCAGATGGCCAGGGATGTGCATTCCCCTGGGCTGGAGACACGAGCGACGCAGATGACGACAACAAGTGGGTTTTCCTTGTCGGCTGCATCCACGGCAACCCCGTCTCCCTCAGCAGCTTTGTCGACTGGGTCATCGGCAGAGTCACCACAGGAGTGGACCCTCTCTCCCTCGGTGGCCCCATCGTCTACTTCGCCCAGAGGATGCCCCGCTTTGGCGGGGGCCCACGCCGACCTGCCTGAGTCAGCCATGTTCGCCAGATCCTCGTCGGCAGGGGACTTTAATGCTCTGGGCTTCGGCCTTGCACCTTCGAGGCTGGCCGGGAGTGATGGCTCAGGCAGGGACGGCACATGTGCCCCTCCTTCTACGGCAGCCGATAACACTCAGCGCGGGCGAGTGGACACGGAGGACGAGAAGCAGAAGGGCACTGAGCCGGACACGGACAACAGCAGCCATAGAAGGACCAGTATGGACGGGGACTGGGACCCCTTCGACCAGCTGGAGTTGGACGCCGACGCCTTCGCGACAGCTGGCTACGATGGCGACCCAGAGCCCGACACCGTACACGTCGCCACCGATGAGGGAGAGGGGCAGCAGCCTGCCACTCCTCCTCCTGGCGCAGGTTGTCCGTCTGAGGCCCTGGAGGTGAAGCCCTACGCTCAGGCACCCCAGGAGCATGTGAGAGCCAGTCGTGACAAGATGAAGCGGTATCAGAAACACGACCTTCAAGCAGTGCGTTTCTACTTTGCCAACTACACCAAGTGGAACCAGACTGGGCTCGACTACGTGAATAAGATTCGCGATGACGAAGGGTACCATGTCCAACTTGGTGCAGAGACTCACCTACGAGGGCCACCGTTGCGTGCAGCGATCAAGAAGCTCAGCAAGGCGCACTGGAAGGATACCCAGGTGCAAGGGGAGCTCGGCCGCGGAGGTGCATGGGTCGCCGTCGGCGCACACCTGAGCTCCAGGGCCATCCGACTGCGACGAGCGGAGTGGTCTCAGCCAGCTGCTGGGCAAGGCATGTGGGCCGCGCGTGAGGTCCGCCTGCATGGCCACGCGCTCCTTTTCCTCTCCGCCTACTTCGCTTGCGGGGAGGGCCTCTCGGGGGATAACATGCAGATGCTAGAGGAGATGGTTAGTAAAATCCAGGCAACTGGGGTCCCCTTCATCCTCCTAGCCGACTGGAATATGGAAGTATCGGAGGTTCGGGAGTCTGGGATTGAGGACTACCTTGACGCCAGGTTTGTGTTTCCAAAAGGGGCCTCTCGGGAGTTCGGCAAGCGGGTGATCGACTTCGGACTGGTCTTCTCCCACCTCGTCCTTGACCTCACCTTGGAGTATGACCTAGAGGGGCCATGGGCCCATCCACATCTTGGCATTCGCGGCAGCTTGGCAGGAGCTTTCAGGGAACGGCAGATGCAAGTCCTCACCCAGCCAGTACCGCTTCCCCTGGACGTGCAAGGGCCTACGCTGGCCTGGGAAGTCTTCCTGGAGAAAGCTCGTGCTCGACTTCCAAGCCGGCCCCGAACAGAGTATTTCACTGCCGACCCCTGTACCGATCCAGCTCTTACTGACAGGTATGCTCTCTTTTCAGGTGCAGCTGAGGAGCTGCACAAGTCCAAGCTTGTTGGCGTGCGCGACCTTGCGCGCCATCGCGGCTGTTCTCCAGGCCTGACGATGAGACCTGCCATGCCACCAGCCAAACAAAGCGGACAACATGGGGGCACGCATAAGCTCGCCTTTTGGACATGTATGGTTGCGCGGCTTCAGGACTTTCATGGACTCCGTATCGGTAAGGAGAGCCCAGGGAAGACTGCAAAACGCCAACAAGTTGGGAAGCTCATCCAGGCCAAACTCGGAAGTATCCAGGAGCATCATGTCCCCAAGGGATCTCAGGAGGACCTCATCCAGATCACCTCAGACATTCAGGACATCCAGATGCAGGCCCAGCAGATGCCCCAACTGTCCCAGGACGGCATTAAAGACTTGGCCAAGAAGTGTAAGGCTATCCGAGACCGTGCCGATCATGAAGTTTATCAGGATAAACAAGCTGGGTTCCAGGAGTGGCTCTCCCAGAGCCTCCGAGGGGGGGGCCAAGTGGGCTCATCGACACACCACCACATGGGGCCACCCAGAGGCCATACCAGCCCAAGAGCTGGACGCGGAAGGGGGCCCACTATGGGACCCCTCGGAGGCTCTGAAGACCAAGCAGACTCGGTGGCAGACGCGCTGGAAGGACCCTGGAAGCCAAGGGCACCCCTCTACGCAGAGCTGGTGGCAAGTTTTTCGGCAGGATGCGCAGGCCCAGGTACTTGAACTGTCTGAACTTCAGGCCCCACGTGTCTTGGCAGCGTGCCATGCCTTCCCGAGTCCTATGGGCATGGAGGCCGACCAGTGGAACCCCGAGCTCTGGGCCGCTCTACCTGAGGAGGCGCACGATGAATTAGTCGGTCTCTTGCAGGACATCGAGCGCACCTGCGCGTGGCCAGAGCAGATCCTGTTGAATG